TGTTTTTGTTACATTTTCTGAAAAACATGGTTTTACGTAGCTGCATTTTTAAATTAAATGTTTGCATTTGCTTTATTCAGCATGAGAATCAACAGGCAGCTGGTTCTAGTTGTGTCTTCTCAATGCTTTAGTGTTGAAATGTCATAAACCTTTGAAGGCTGGAGAAAAGCTTTTTCAGTTGCACATGAGGACAGGTTCTTTCCTGTGAGGGTGGCGAGATGCTGGAACAGGTTGCCCAGGAAGGCTGTGGATGCCCTCTCTCTGAAGGTCTTCAAGACCAGGTTGGATGGGGCTTGGAGCAACCTGGTCTAGTGGGAGGTGTCCCTGCCCATGCAGGGGGGGTGGAACTGGATGATCTTTAAGGTCCCTCCAACCCAAACTGTTCTGTGATTCTATGAATTCACTATTAATGAAAAACATGATAATAGAAGCCAGTTAAAATGGAAAGCAGGCAAAATCAACTAAAAATATTGCTCTCATTTTGATAAATTAGACTGATTAACCATTAGAAAAATCTGTCAAGCAACAGACTTAATAACATTTTTTTTTTAATGTTGTCAGGACTGGATATCTCTCTAGAATATATTCTTTATTTATACACACAACACTGAGCTTAATTCTACCAAGTGGGAACCCTTGACATGTAGGAGGTTACATCCAATAATTAAATCATCTTGCTAACCTTCAACTCTGCTAATGGTATACAGTTGCAGTGGGTTCAGGGAAGGGCAGCAAAAAGTAGCTTACAGATTGAGAGCATTGTCTTTTGAGATCAAAACGTTAAATATGTACAGTTTGGCACATGAAGACTTGAGAACATAAATCTGCAAATATTTATAGAAGTGCTGGGAATACTTAGCATAATTGAAAAGGTTTACAACTGGGAGAAGTCAGATGAGGACAGTTCTTGGAATATGTGAAGAGACCTTCGAACAGTAAGGTGGATAATTTGAGTTAAGCATCTAAAGTTGGTCTTGAGAGCTTAATTTTGAGAGAGTTTAAGAAAAATAAAATTGAATAAAGAAACATTTTTGAAAACACAGTAGCACCAACAAAGATGTTCTAGTTCAAGGCCAGGTTGGATGGGGCTTGGAGCAACCTGGTCTAGTGGGAGGTGTCCCTGCCCATGCAGGGGGGTTGGAACTGGATGATCTTTAAGGTCCCTTCCAACCCTAACCCTTTTATGATTCTATGATTCATTGTTTTGCTGTGTTGCTCTTTATGTTTGTCAGTGGATTTTGGAGAACAGGGTTGTCCTCTGACGCACCATTGCCTGTCATCATTGCCAGTGCTTCTCTCCAACCTTCTGATGGCTCATTTGGAGCAGGGATGCTGTGTATGTCTGTGTGAAGAAAACCAAAGAGCCATACAAAAGTGTGGATGTGAAAACACTCCCTTGATTTCAGTTGATGGGCAAAGTGAGCTGAGTCAGGACGTAGCTAACTTGCCAAATCCCTCTGGTAGTTTCATGGTTAAACTGACTTTAAAACTAAGCTAGAAGCAGAACTGCACTAAGATTACTCACAGGAGTGAGCTGTCATTACAGCATGGCAGCTGCTTCTGGTGTTTAATACTGTGTTAAATGTTACTGAAGAATGTCATCTGCTGTCATTTCTGAGTGGATTGGAATAGTAATTGCAACTCCCCTGAAAGAAATTTCTAGATTACAGTGTCATTATCTCTTGCTTTAAGTTCCCATAGCCCCAGTTTTGGGATTATTTTTGGAATCATAACTGTCATGGTAAGATTTTTAAAATGCAGCATGATTCATCATGTCACTGGCTTTTGTTGTGTTATATCCTGAATTCTGCAATAGGGGATAACAGAAACTTAATTTATACAATAAATCTTCAAGACACTGTTGAATTAACTCAATTTTAAAGAAAACATTAAGAATTCTTATTTTTTAGTGTTTGACATGAGTTTTGAGTTAATTTTGCAAGTTTTTCTGAGACCTTCAGATTATAAATCATCCAACTGAAAATAACCTTCTTTGCTATTCTAGTTTTTGCATGTCCAGCCTTCTAAAATAGAGGGGGTTTGTGTTACTTGTGAAAGAAAATATTGAACGTGAAATTGCTGGTAGGTTGTTCTCTAAGATACACCAAGTAAGGAACAGCATTGAATTGGAAAAAATGTGCATGTTGTGAATTTTAATGTTCTTCCACTTAGGTTCTGAAACTGGATATTTTACCCAGGTTCATTTCCTTTCCATTAACAGTAGAAATGACAGATGGAAAAAAGTTCTTTATCCTGGCATCTATATACAGTCCTTTAATTCATCTTCATTTAAGTTGGACATGTAACATGATGCAATAACTGTGTATCATTCAGTTCTGAAAAGACAGATGTGTTTGTGGTGCCTGCTGTATTTTTCTGGATAATTTTGTATTTTATTTCATAGGTAAATGAAATTTAAATCAGTTTGTATCACTTTAACTGGCTCCCCTCCTCTCCCCTAGGTAAACTTTTACTCATTTCAGCCAGCTGTACAGAGGAAAATGAAATATATTCCTGCAGATTGGTAACTGGACAGAGAAGAGATGTAATTTATGTCCCTGTGAGGAGAGGCAGAAGCCTGAGCTCAGCAGTTACCTGCTCTATTCCTTGCAACAGTTGCCATGGATGAGCTCATGGCCAGCCAAAAATACTGCCCTGCCTGTTTGTGGTTGATGGATGAGTGAGGATAGTTTGGGCAGTGGGGGGATGTGTGTTGAGAAATGTGGTAAGAGTATGGTGGGAGAGAAAGGAACATGGGCTGATCTAGTTGAAGATGTTGGACTTGATGACCTGTAAAGTCCCCTTCCAAACCAAACGATTCCATGATTCTCTGGTACATGGGAGTAGAGATTTTTGAGATGCAATATTATATTTCTGTCCTGTATCTTCCAGAAGAATCCATAAACAGTTGGGTATTAGGGTTTTGCAGAAATCAGAAGCTCTGTCTAACATGCTTGTATCCTGGGTGTCTATGTCCATAAGTACATGGAGTAAAACTGAGTGACAGCTTAATTTTGTGTGTGTTAATGCTATCTCAGTAGAAGTTCTGGGGCAGAAAACCCTACAAAACCAAAACACCCAAGCACAAACAGACTGACTTTAGATGTATTCAACCCAAACTTTAAATAGGAGTTACTACAACAAAATGACCCAAAACCTCTTAGAAGGGGACTGGGAAGCCACTGGTAGTGTGGGATGTTAAAGATGAAGTTCTCTGCTTTCTCTGGGATGAGTGGGAACTGACATCTACTTAACTAGACTTAGAGAACTCAAAATCCACTCAAAGTGGATTATTTCCCCAGTTAGTCACTCTGTACATGCATCACCAATCCACTAAACATTGAGTGGAAGTAATAGATAGTGGTTGATAGCTTGGAAAAGTAAGAAGAAATTGGGTAAATATGGGATCGTCTTTCCCAGTTCCAGGAATCTGTGGCTTGTGACTGGTATTTTTCAGCCAAAAGTTTCAGGAGGCCATTATGGTGTATAATTTAATAATCTTTAGATCCATTTATCATTTTGAGTGTTTCAAGTTTTTAAAAGCTTACATACATTAAAAAAAAACAAACAAAAAACCTAGTATGGAGGCCAGGTTAATGGTCTTAAGATTTCCTCTCTACCTTAAAATCCATAGAACACTATGGCATTGGAAATTTCCCTGATCCAGAGCTTAGTATAAGCAACAGGTTGCTCACTGAACTGACATGTAGTTGTTCAACACAGTGATACTGGTTTCTTTATCCCACATTTGCCTCTCAGATCTCATCTCCTGACACTCTGAGATAGGCTCTTTAATTCCTATCTCACAAGGAGTGGACTTTTTAAGGTTCAGCTGTAATGAAAATTGACACAATCATGGAATCATTATGGCTGAAAACGACCTTCAAGATCCTCAAGTCCAACCACCTGCTAATTCTTTGTTTTCCTGGAACTTTCAGTTTCACCCAGATGATAACTTCCTTACTTGGATACTGCTTCCAGTATTTGAAGCTTGCTGTTTTAATTAAAGTATTTTTGTAACCTTTATATGTGTTTGGTTTTAATTCTTCTAATAGTCTCTTTGATATTGTCCTGTATTTGCTCTTTCTACAGTCTTAATGTTACCTTTAATCTTTTTATACCTTTATCTTAATCTTCTAATTTTTCAAAGCACTATAATAATTTGTAACTCTGATTTTTATTAATTAAAGATTTCCCTGGAGAATTAACTTAAAACTTAAAAGGATAGAACTATTTCCCCTATGTGTCTATTTTGTTTAGCATTTGAAGAGGGCAAAATAATTGTCATTATGATAAATAGTTTTCTCTGCATAGTCCAGGAGTTTATATTTGGGAGTTTTTAGTGTTAATGATGGTGTTTAGTCCTGAAGAGCTGCTGCTTGTCCAGGTCCTTTAGATTTAGGGCATGAATTGTGTTATTTACAAAACTCTGGTTCTGCTGCCAAAAGATGTTGCAAAAGGCTTGAATGTTATTTCAGGCACGTGTTTGGTTTTGCCAGGGGATAAATGAAAAACTCCTTCACTGTTGAATTTTGTAAACATAGTCTGCACTGAAGGTCTTTCTTGCAGACCATAACTTCGTGGCTACTGAAGTGGCAGAAGTTTGTGTCTTTACAGGTCTTGTCCCACTCTCCCAACAATGAGATGGAAACCAGGCCTTTTTATCCTTCTCTCTTTTCCATTCCTTACTGGTTACAGGATACCTACTGACTGAAATACTGCCCTTCCAGTTTTTTTGTTGGGAGCTCCTCAAGAAGGGAGGCTGGAAGAAGAGCTGTGACTCCTTGGTTGTTCTAAAATCTTTGAGTTTTGACAACTTTGCCCCAGGCACTTAACTACATTCAAGCATTCTTCTCTATATTCAGTATTCATTGAAGTTATACCCCAAGAGAGTGAACACCCTTTAATAAAATAGAAAAATGTATATGTGTGTGTGTGTGCATATATATATATATATATGTAACCTTCACCCCCACTGTTTGTTGGTTATATTTTTACTAAGAGATGTGCTGCTGTCCCCAGGTGGTGCTTGGTGCTCACTTTGTACCTCATGGCATGTGACATTGCTTTCACTTTTGTGACCTGAACTTTAACCTCCTGTGCCAGTCATAAGAGCATTTCCATCTCAAGGGTTTGCAAGGTAGCAACTCAGTTCCTCCTGTATATCCTCTGCAAAAGGTATCTCATGGTTTTCAGAGGAGAGTTGTGTCATGCACCAGAGAACCTGTTTCTGAAGTAGAAGAGCAGTTGTTAAATTCTTGCACCTCTTGAGTCTAATTGCCTTTGGAATAGATGGTGTTTGAGTTTAATTGCCAATTATTACACTGTAGGATAAATATACTTGGTTGTCTGAGACACACAACTGTCTCTTACTTAGTTTGAATATGCATATTGTTCCAAGGATGGCTCTGATGACTCTCACCTTACTTAGATAGTCCTCTCCCTTCCCTTTCAGGGAGCTTCTGATTTCAGGTGAACTCTCTCCATAGTTAATGCTGCTGATGGGTTCTACTTATGACTTCAAATACCATTTTTTTTTCCCCTTCTTATCAATTCTGATTGGCAATTATATGGAATGAGATGGTCCATAATCTATGTGTGATGGATATACTACTTTACACAGTCATTCACAATGACAAGTCACCTAATTTTATTATACGTGGATTTAAACTTCACAGTTGTTTATAGCTGAAGTTAAATTGTAATGATGCTTAAGACTGGGATATTTCTCTGTTGTTAAGTGGCTTCTTAGGAAGTTTTGAATTTCAGAGTAGTCTGATGCATTATTGCAGCTGTGTGGCTGTTTGGCAATTTGATAGCTGGTTCTGACATTTATCCATGTGTATTTTATTATAACCTTCACTGATTGCCACTATTTGTGATTAGTTTCACAAGGAAGAAAACCTCATAAAGAAGAATAAAAATATACAAGAACATTTCTTCTCTAGCTTTGTCAGTATTATTTCCTAAGGTTTATATATTTACCAGAAGTGTGGAGGATATAATGATACTGATTTGCTTCTGGGGAAATTTGGTGCTTCTGGGAAAACTGGAGACCTCCTAGTGGCCTTCCAGTGCCTGAAGGGGCTCCAGGAAAGCTGGGGAGGGACTTTAGACAAGGGCTTGTAGGAAGAGGACAAGGGGTAATGGATTAAAACTGGAAGAGGGGAGATTGAGGTTAGACATTAGGAAGAAATTATTTAGTGTGAGGGTGGTGAGATACTGGCCCAGGTTGCCCAGGGAAGCTGTGGCTGCCCCATCCCTGGAAGTGTTGAAGGGCAGGTTGGATGGGGCTTGGAGCAACCTGGTCTGGTGGGAGGTGTCCCTGCCTATGCAGGGGGGTTGGAACTAGGTGACCTGTAGGGTCCCTTTCAACTCAAGCCATTCTATGATTCTATGAAATCTGGATTTGAAGGACAATAACTGACAAAGTTTTATATGAAGCTGCCTGTATTTGCCTTTCTTGCAGAAGGGGCAGAGTTGTCTGTCTCCGAGTAGCTGGTCTACTGAAGAAGTACTTCAGTTGCCAGCTTGCTTTGGTCTGTGGACAAACCAGCTATCATAATAAACAGAATTGCTCCTTGACACTGGGCAAGGATTTGAATTTTTACTTTTAAATTTGTTTCTTAAAAAGATAATCTGAATGTACTTTGAAATAGTAAAAGTGTTTCATGTGGATACTCAAGGAACTGAAAAACATATGTGGCTTTTCCCATAGAAGTGGATCTGAACACTGCAGAGTATTTACAGCTGAACAAATGCTGTGGGGCTTAATGTTGTGGAGGTCATAATTGTCATGGAACTTCTCTGCAGGATATAGGCTTTTGTCTGGTTTAATTAAAAAATAATAATGTCCAGTTAAGAAAAATTATTTCTAGCAAAGGAGTGAGATGTTATAATTGGAGTTGGGTAAAAAACGCACATCAGTATTTTTATAATTATACATATATATTTATGTATAAGTACTAATTCTGATCTGTGTCTCATAATTCTGTGGTGTGTTATTGAAGCTGTGATGTTATTTTTTCCCCCCATCTGAACAGCACCCGGCAGTGCCACCTCCTTCTTGATGTCTTCAATTCCACAGAGCACGAGTTGACCATCAGTGCCAGGAACAACGAAGACCTAATCCTGCACGCCGGGGAATGCCAGCGGTGAGTGCTTTCAGGACTCAGAGGGCCCTGTTTGTACTCTCCATTTATACACAATTTGAGATATTTTTGGCCTTTTTTTCTTTTTAAACCTTGTATACAGGTCAAAGAATATAAGAACTGCTACTTTCATTAAGGTGGGTCACTGAGTTCTAGCAATATCTCCACTGAATCTATTTTAACTCAGAATCCAGTAGCACTGAAAAGAAAGAAATATAAAATAGTTGGTTCTGAGTTGTACAGATGGATGTAGCATTGACCCAGCTCGTTTAACTCATTTTTGTGGCATGTTTTAATATAATTTTCATGTGTTCTGAACATAGTTCTGATGTTAAAACCTGACCTCACTAGGGTATTATCCTTTTCCAGCTCTAAACAGTCTTTTCTTTGTGTAGTTCCCCAGCTGTTTAATCAGTTTTTGTAGAAAGAAAACTGCAGGAAAGAAAAATAGAATTGAAGAAAAGGCAATCACAATCTCAGTGGAAAAATATTCTAGATTAAGTAGGTTGTTATGTGTACTGGTTCTTACAACCCAGCTATGATGTTGTAAAGGTCATTTTATCGCTAACTACAAACCATTATTTGCTATAATATATCAACCTAGGATTCCTACTGCTGGCTGTATCCTAGGTTACTTGATTTATCTCCTTCAGATGACCATTACATCTAGATGACAGCATCTTCAGCTTAAAGAGATGAAACTGTGAAAAAAGAATTGCTTCTGTTTGGTCACAGGCTACCTACACAGGTCCCTTCTTTGGGAGAGTTGTGCTGCAATCTTAAATAATGCAATTGATAAACTTAGTTATAGCAAGATACTTCAGTGTCTGAAATCTCAGTCTGAATATTAAGTTCAAAGAAAAACTCATCAATTGCAAGACATGCAACTGTAAAAAAGCAGTATAGGGTATGTAACACCAGCAGCAAATTCAGAATGCTTGTTGCCTTAGTGACTCCAACAGCACAGCCGTGAGAAAATGCATTGACTCAAAAAAACCAAGCTGATTTTTCCCCATTTTACTTCATGAAGAAATGGACAAAAATATCAGGAACATAAAGTGCTTGTTTCTTCTATTTAGAAAAACTTGGATTATTTTCTTTTTGAAAAGCAGTATAAACACTCACAAAAATGCTCATATTCTGATCTGTATTGTTTTGTAATTTTGTTTTATGCTCCTTGTTATTTCCCATCATTTTTGCAGCTGGTAAACTCCTTGAAATTTTTCACTCCCAGTCTTTGGGACAGTAGGTAACAAACTGAAGAAATGTTATAAATAAGGTTGTAAAATGACTTTGCATCTTCTTGGTCCAGATGATCCTTGAGGTCCCTTCCAACCTGGCATTCTAGGATTCTGTGAGAGGCTCTTCAGTCAAGTTCAGGGCTTTTTCTCCTCCCCTGTTACCTTCTTGATTCTGTCTTCATTCTTAATGTTTTCCTCATTCCACTTTTATTGAAATTGTAACTTTTTCTACCAGCTTTGGTCACTCTCGCTTCCTTTTGTAATTTACTCTCCCTCCATCCATCACCATAATTTTAAAATGTCCTGACCAAGTGGACATAGCAGGAAGTTGTTTTCTTCGTTCCTGTTCTTGCTGAAGACTCCAAGTGTTTTCATACTCTCTGCCAACAGCCCTACAGAGAAGGATAAATGCTGCATCCTGCTGATTGCTCACCTCTTTGCTTCCCTCTTTATATGTAGAATATAATTCAACTTCTGAGCAGAATAACTTGGCAGTGCCCAGTGAGAGGGAATTTGCAGGGAATTCTTCCATTCCTTTTAGGTAAAATGAAGAATGGTGTTGGAAGGCTCTGGATCCTACAGTTACTAAGGCACACTCCATATCATCTTTGATTTTTAATAAAGGTACCCAGTTGACTGTGATGCTGAATATGGGGAGGGTGTAGGAAGTAGAAGCAGAAATGCCAGAAAAAATCTGGGATCACCAGTAGATCAGTACTAGAACTGCCACATCTTGCTGAGTCCATGCAGGACAGTCCCTGGTATCCATCTTATAATATTCATATGATTTGGTGCATCCCAACCCCGGCCTGTTCTCTGGCTTATGTCTTTGTCTAAAATGGATCAAATGCACAGAATTCTTCACACTCCTTTTACTTTAAGGTCTGAAGAGAAGTTTGCTTCAATTATTTTTAGAGATATGGAAAATACAGCTGCTGCAGGCAGTCTGAAGGAATGGTATGATGCTGTTGATGTAAAGTGACAGCCTTTAGGCCATTAAAATACTATCTGTAAATATATACCTTTTTGTACTACAAGATTATTCTCTTGATTAGTGAAGATTATACTTTTAGCTGTCAAAAAAACTAAGTTTACACTTCAGTGTAATTTTTCAGCCGTTGATTGAGAACACTTAAGTGTGTGCATTGTAATTGTTCGATGTATACAAGCAGTGTTTCTGAGAGGTGACACTCTTTTCCTTCTGTTTTAGGACAGAGGAAAACATGTTTTGCTCCCTATTATTTTGTAGTAAGAAATGATAATTTGGGCTTAGTTATTATTTTGTTCATTTGTTTTTATGGCTTTTATCATATATTCTGCAGACACACAAATGGAAAGGATCTGCCTTAGTGTTCTTCATTCCCCTTTTTTAGTTTTCATATGCCTTGAAATGTTCTTTGAGTCCCATGGTGGGACAATCAGTAGTATGTTTTACTTTGAGGTGGTTTTTTTACTCTGAAGATTGTGTTGGGGAAGAGAATAAACCAAGACTCATATGGAGGAGAGAAGGAGAAGAAAGGAAATTTGCCCTCCTCCTCTTGTGAAGTTGAAGACAAGAGAGGAGCAAGGGGTTTGGACAGTCTGTTTTTGAACTCCTGAAAATGATTTAGGGTTCCTTCCAAAACTAGATTAGGAAGCAAATTATTTTTTAACTGCTTTACCTCTGCAGGAGTTCTTTTAAGCTTTAATATACAAAAGGAGAGACAGTGGGCAAATGGTGTTCTGGCAAAAAGTTCAAATGAGTTACTCTACTGAAGATCTGGCTGCAGTGAGTGACACTGAGATGTTGGCAATGTCTTTAGTTAACAAAAACCACACTGGAGATACTACACAGTGGTGTCAACATGTTTTGTTTATCTATCCACTTGAATGTACTCCAGACGGTGATGAGGGAAAGAAGTTTTCTGATAGATGCTACTGGAAAGTTCATCTTTCAGATGTTTTTCCAGACCAGCAGAGCCTCCTGTCTGCAAAGCTGTTTCTGGAAGCAGTCAGCTGCACGCAGTGGAAGGGGCTTTGCTATGAACACAGAAATGTTTTGAATGTAATCAGCAGTAAAACTGAACTCGTTGATCACAGTGATGAGGCATTCAAGAGGCAGTTCTGAAATGGAAGAATACAACAGGCAGCTCTTGGAAGGGAATTGTGTTATGTATGTTAACAAAAAAGTGTTGCCACTAGCAGTGATTTGAATTTATTGAAAAACTTCGGGATGGCAATTATTGTGTTTCTTAATTATCAAACCATTCAAATTAAATTTCATTACAACCTTCATTTATGCTCAAATCACTTCATAATTTATGGTAATAGATGTTATCTCGTGATGTGCCCCAGGATAGCTCATTTCGTACAACAGACCCTGCTCTGCCTTTGCATTTCTATTCTGTGCATGGTGTGTCTGGTGCTTGGGAGCAGCAAACATTGTCTGGGAAGATTTATCATGGGGGTGGTCTGAGCAGATCAGTCCTGTCATCTATCCTTGTAGCACAACACAACTCAGTTGTTAAAGTCTCCTGTGGATGTGAAACTCCACAGTTGGTGGCTGTAGATGTAACGCTTGTAGACATTAGAGTTTTCAGACTGTTTTGGCCTGGATGGGAGGACTGTAGGGATTCAAGTTGGGGCCTGCCCAGAAATAGGACTGGAGTGAGGAGTTGAGAAATGAAGAGCAAACAGGACCTGGTTGAGAACAGGCTGGAAAAAAAAGGGTCAAATAATGTCAGACATGGAGGAGCTGTGAAGGATCTCTAATCATTCAGGCACCTTGGAGAGAGTCCAGAGGAGGCCACAAAGATAATCAGAGGTCTGGAGCAGCTCTGCTCTGGAGACAGGCTGAGAGAGTTGAGGCTGTTCAGCCTGGAGAAGAGAAGGCTCCAGGGAGACCTTAGAGCACCTTCCAGTGCCTGAAGGGGCTCCAGGAAAGCTGGGAAGGGAGGGGCTTTGGACAAGGGCAGAGAGTGGTAGGATGGCAGATAATGGTTTTAAGCTGGAAGAGGCAAGATTTCAGTTAGACATTAGGAAGCAATTATTTGATGCAAGGATGGTGAGACTCTGGCACAGATTGCCCAGGGACATTGTGGCTGCCCCATCCCTGGAAATGTTGAAGGGCAGGTTGGGTGGGTCTTGGAGCAACCTGGTCTGGTGGGAGGTGTCCCTGCCCATGCGGGGGGGTTGGAACTGGATGATTTATAAGGTCCCTTCCAACCCAAACCATTCTATGATCTTGCCCAGCAATGAGGACATCTTCTCCAGTAGATGCTGGAATGAAATACAACATTTTTTTCAGAGTTGTATTTCCTTGAGGATAGTAAGTAGCCCTGAAGTTTGTCAGTAGTTGAATTGTTTGTTTCCGATACAGGTCTCCGTAAATGCTGAAACACTTTTATTGGTAGATGAAATGGCAGAGGCTTTTGTGCAAAATTTTAAAATTCTGACAAGTCCTGGTGACCCATGAGAGTGCTGGTGTGAAGTAGCATGATGGAATTTTGGCCTTTTGTTTTATGTATTTTATTTTTTTTTTTCAGTTGGGAGTTGTGCAAGAAGCAATAGGCTAAAGAAATGCTGCAGTAGGAGTGATCACTTAGAAGTTAAGAACTGCCAAGCTTCTTGCTGGGCTGGCAGTTCCTGCCTTTTAGCAGGATTACAGGGTAAAACGAGTGAGTTTACTTACATGTAAACACTATAGTAGGTATAGTAGGTTTTGTTCTTTTTTTTTTTAATGTCAGCAGAAGTATAGGTATATTTGATGAGTGAACTTTTGAA